TCATTATTGCAGCAACAACGGCAGCATCAACGACAACGACAACGACAACAACAAAGTGCACATTTTGTATAAATAAAACAATGACAACGATTTCAACTCATTTAAATTCTGTGCTGTAATAAATTTGCCTGCATAATTTCTATAGATAGGACAACTTTTCCATTTTCCCCCCGGACACCGAACGCCCTCTGTCACTTTGTTTAGTTTGTTTAGTGTAGACTCCAAAGTGCCTGGCTGAATTTTCAATACATTTTCTGCATTTTAAATGATTTTCATGTGGAAATTTGTTTGCATTTTCGTCCGGCACAGAGAGAGAGAGAGAGATTCAGGGAAGTCCTGGACTAGTTAAATGATTGTGGGCTGTTTGTGCTTAAACTCCAATTGGATTTGAGGGCTCTTAAAGCTGCCAGCACTCCACGGTCCATAAGTCAACGATTGCAAATTACTAGCTGCTCCCCAGGCCTGGTCCGTTTTCCAGCGAGGATCCGGGCACGGTGCCAGCTAATTAAAACGCGGTCCTTCCTGCTTCGGTGTTCAGTTGAGTCAGTTGATATCAGCCAGGACGGGGACAAGGGGACAAGCCTAGTGCCGGCGGAGGGAGCTGGAACAGTGCTGCGCTTGCTGTGATTTAATTAATTTCAATGCATAACGTCAACTGTGAAACCGGAACCCAAACTCAAAACCGAATACCCGTAGAGCCCGGACCCGGAGCCAGTCAAACCTGACACCAAACACAGAGCCCGAGCAAGAGATAGACGCTCACGCAGGGGATGGGGATGGCCGGCCGGAGGAAGGACATTTCCGAAGGCAGAAAAGAACTGAACTGGAAAATTAAATCGAGTATAATTTTTTCGGGTGACACGCTGCTTTAAATTTTGATGCCAGTAACAAAAACAACGCACCCAACAGTGAACTAGCTGGCAGTCAAGGAGAGGCACAGGCAGCGGGAGATGCCCAGGCGGACCTTTAAGTTTTCATTCTTGTTGTTCCCCTGCTCCCGAGCCCTCTGTAGGGCTGTAAACATTTTTCCGCAACATTGCGTTCTGACTTTAATTAGCATTTTTGCATGGTGAAAGGGAAAAGGAGTGAGCAGTCCTTGCTGGCTACTAGAAAAACCTCCCGCCTTCCAACCTGCAAAAAAAAGTCGGCCAAAGGGAAAATATTTGCATTTTCTGTTGGAAGCTAGAAGTCAAGTCCAAAGGACAAAGCTAAGGAACTGAAAACATAACGGTGGCAGGTATGTTACGTTATGATATGTATGCAAACTGTTGTGTTTTAATATTAATATTGTTACTAAACATCTTTTTCAAATAATACACCGGTCTAAAAATTCTTATCATAGTCGGTTTAAATGGTACACTTACATTATTATTAATATATTCCTAATTAAATAAGATCAGTAAAGTTCTTAAAGATCAGTCTGTCTGGATTTTATATATTGCATATTGATAAATTGCAAATTGATTAACATTAAGTTTTAAAATCATAATCAATACTTATTGATTTTAAATAATAACACAATTTTATTTGAACTTTTTAAGCTGTTTCAAAAAAATCAATAAGAACCTCCTATTTAACAATAATTTTTTATTCAGAATGTTTCAATTATCTGCATAAACTCTGTCAACATGAAATATAGAATGATTCGATTTAATGCAATTTTTTTACTATAGTATTTTTAATACAATGTGAAGGCCAATAAATAGAGAGAGTTCGTAAGTTGTTCCTACTTTCTAAAGTTAAGTCACTTTTTATTAGATGTCAGCAGCTTTTTAATGGCCGATTTCTAGTTGTTTCCACTGGAATAAATAATTAAATAAGATTGAACTATAGAATGTACGATTTTCCTTCGAATTGTATTTATGAAATGACTAATGACTAAAAGCTGTATGTAATAGTTCGTAACTAATATTTCGCTAGTTACAGAAGAGTCGAGCAATCCTTTATTGTATTTCATATCAATTTAATTTACTTACGATATTGTTTTTATTTATTTTTTGCAGGTAAGTGTCGCTATCCATAACAACTTTTATACGGGTAAGTGACTTTAATCATTTTTGTGTCTGAAGCTAGAAAATTAATAATTGATCTATAATTATTAGATAGAAAGCTAAACCAGTTGAAAGATAGTTTGGGACTACTCTGTGCTGAAATCTATTTAAATGAGTCGAAGGCCCTAGCAGCCAGTGATCGTTTAAATTTCATTAAGTTTAGTATTTAACACTAGATTTAATCTTGATAAAGTAAAATAAATAAAAATGAGGAATGAACAATGGATATCCGGTGACAAAATACTTCTCGTGGGCACTTCTACGTTTAAATAATCCCTAATAGAACCTTAATGAATACTCCCCGCGGAGGTTGGATAGGCAAGATTTAAGATTTGTTTTAACTGCTAAAGCTAAATCATACTTTATGCAAATACATTTTTGTTTTTTATTATTACATAATCACCGTAAGTTTAAGCTGTAGCAATGTTTTTTATGGACCACCCTCGCGAGTCAACAATTTTTGTCATCAGTTACCTAAGTATGTATTTTTGTTGTTGTTGTTGGGATTTTTGTCTTTTATGTCATTTATGATCTAAATTTATCACCTTGCCATCTTAATTCCCTTCCAAGGGTATAATGAACTAAGAGAAACGTTGAGAATTTGGTGGCAAAGATGTAATATATTTTTTCTTATCTATGAATTTCTAAGAAAGTTATTGTTTAGTAGTTATATTTAAAGAGACTATAGTCTTTACAGCTGGTATTAAGTTAGGGCAAGGGTATTTCGCTGGCGTCTTTGGTAGGCTAGTTTTCTTTCTGGGCTTTATCATCTTTTTTCAGCTAGAATTTCCCAGGCGTTGATTTCATTACTTGGATGGTACCCAACAGGGTGGAACGAGCACTGGCTAAAATGAAATGTTTTTGGGGCACAACGATTAAAGCCAAAATGCTGGCCTTTGGATCATTAGCGGCGGCTTTTTGGGCCTGATTTGTTAATCTATTTTTTTCAGCTGAAAATACTTATTATGTTACGCAATTTGAAGAAGAGACTTGGCTTTAATTTATAGAGAGCAGAAATTAACGCTTAGAGGACAGACATGCAGTGAATAATCCCAGCTAACAGGATGACAGCCCGTCCTGTGACCACAGAATTTCCCCGGCTAGCACCCATAGGACGCAAATTAAGGAAACCTGTCACAATATGTAGCTACCCCAAGGAATAGACACACCCATGAACGGATCTGGATACACAACCCCTGCGAGGACACGCGACTTTCGACGCGAAATTCGACAAAAGCCAAAACCGTAACAAATCGCATTTAAATTTACCTGCCAAGGCGAAACTTGAATGGGAACAGCAGTGGATCCGGGAACAGGACCAACCACCGAAAAGGATGCGATAATTTATAGCGTTTCATTTGCTTCCTCACCTCCCCCTCCGCCCTTTCGAGCGATGTAAAATCTAATTTAAATTTCACAGCGTGCCAGAAGCAATGAAAATAGAGAGAGAGAGCGGGAAGGAGATGATGGCCGGCAAACAATAAAAATATATTCTTATTTATGTGGCTTAATTTGCAGAGCGTGCAGAACGTCCGCAGGACAACTATTACATCTGCAGCTCGGCTTGCTCATTTCGAATTCATTTCCATATACTTGCAATCCTTCCTGAATGTAAAGCACAAAAAAAAGACAAGCACAATTGCCCCCTGTAAGAATTTTTCAAATGTTTTACACACAAAAATGTTCATTCCCTGCTCTTTGTTGCGTACAATTAGTTTGACAACAACAACAACAACAGCAGCAGCAATAACTGCAGTCACATAAAACAAAAGTGAATGACAATTGGCAAAAGGACAACGGGAGAACGTCGAGGACGGGGACGAAAACGAGAAATGTCCCTCCACGAAAGGTGACTTTTAATGCCTTTTGTGTTGCTGTTGTGATTGTCGCTGGTTTGTCGAAACAACAACGAACACGTGTAAACAGGGGCGAAGGGGTGACAATTTTAACCCCTTGGTCCCAGCCCCACCCCTCCCGGGTCACAGTACCTGCTTTGTCATGGCCTCGATTCTGTTTTTGTGTTCGCCTTTAATTTTAATTGTGGAAATTACTACATGCAACAGCGCGGCGAGTGGAAAAAGTAATAGTAACAAGCTGGTAAATTGCACCCACCACTCGCTGGCTTAAGTGCCGCCCCTCCAACCGGAAAACGCGTGTGGCAGTCGTAAGAGCACAACCTGCGGACGCGCTCCGAAATGAGTAATTTCCTTAATCTGCTTATGCTCAATGCTTTTGCCCAGAGTTCCAGCAAACGAAAACGAAATAAATAAATAGTAAAACTATTTTGATAACGCTTATAAATACCATTCTTAAACATTTTTCAAGTCAGTACTAAAAGACTTCATAAAGAGCGTCAGTCTAAGAGAGAAGAAAAAAAAAGAAAAAAAGAAGAAATTACTAAAGATCTCGACGATGTTAAGTATAGAGTCATAATTTAATTTAATTCAGAATTGAAATTAAAAAAAAAACAAAATGTAGCAATTTTCAATTTTACATATTTTATAGTAGTAGTAAACATATACTAAATTAATATTTTTTATCCGAAAAGTGATCACTTGTTCACTATTCATTGCTCAGTTCCTCAAATGATCATTGTTCATAAGCAAAAAACTGTCACATCTTCAAAATACTTTTAATTTTACTGAACTTCCTTAAGAACAATATGATGAGATTTTAAAAGATTTGTTCTTGATCAGCTGCAGCTTCTGAGAACATTGAAAACAAAAAGTAAATCATCAAAAAGGATCCGCAGAATCAAATTAATTTTTTGTAAAAAAAAGAATTAGAAATGAACATGTTCACTCACTCATTGGAGTTTTTGGTTTATTCACTAATGAGCTACTTAACACACTTTTATGTTTGACTAATGCACAAATTTAATCTTAGCAGTTTTAAATTAAATTCGCACCACAAAATATAAAAAAAACTTTTATATATAATTTTGCTTTGTTTGCTGATCTTTGTTATATAGGATAGATAGATGAACACTTCTATATTTAGCTTGATTTTATACACCGGAAACTAGGCTTAGCTCTATGCGAGGTCACACAAAAATCTAAGTTTTCTTGCAAATCTCTGTATCGATTCCACTAGAAAATTTCGATTTCAATCCTGTATATAGAAAGGTATATTTTTTGGTGATGACAAAGATTTGATTCTCTTCTATAAATTGACCAAATAATAGACTTACAATATTCAATATTTGTTCAGTTTTCTTATATATACGCTTTTTCTACTATTTTGTAAACTTAAATTTGATCCAGAATTTGTCACCTTCGAGTCCTTCGCTTCCCTCCTGCCCTTTACAGCTCTCCTTCTCAACCTCCCTATCCCCATTCCAGTTTGCATCTAACACTCTTCTGCAATAGAAAAAACTGTTGTAATAACAGAACTTTTCTAATCAACCTCCAGGATATGCAGGACTGCCACTCTGCTCCCTCCACAGACGCTCCTCGATGCCAGCCAGCCAGCTGATACCGTGTAAGTTTATTAAAATGATGTCCTGCAGATATTTGCAGACACTCGTCGTGCGAACTGTGGCGCAGTGAAAGGGCTGGACTGGATCGGAATCAAATGAAAGGAACGTTGAGTCGCCTAATGTGCAAGATGACAATGGAATCAGGGAGCAGTACAGTACAGTGTGGGGAAAAACTGGCAAGGCAAACAGAATGGAAATTCTAATCGGAGGACGGGCCAAGGAGGACGACGATTCAATTGGCGAGGAGCTGAGCTTGGAAGTGGAAGGCATCGAGGGCGTTAAGCTCACAAATCAAGCAAAGTGAAGGGCAGTACCCTAACATCGTTTCGTTGAAATAAAAATGCATTTATTTGTGGAGCGAACGAAGAAGGCCCCAAGTGAGGGGGCAGGGAGGCAGGCTGGCTGGCAGGAGCAACAGGATGTATCGGTATCCGTATCCGATTGCGCATCTTTGAGGGTATCGCTGCCATCTGCTCCTCGTGCCCGTGTCGCGTACCTGGCACAAATGCAGAGCTGCATTTGCGTTTTGCTGTCTAACTAGTTACCTACCTATTGGCAGGACACACAGATACATACGTCCAGGAAGGACCCTCCAGTCGTGTAGCTGTTGGCAATTTTATTGACAACCCCGTTCAGAGGGGAATGGGGGCCAACCCTTTTCGCTCCACTGGTGCTGCCGATGCTGACTGGTGACTGGTGACTGGTGGAAAGGGGGTTTGGTTGCATTTTGTGACAATGTTTATTTAGATTTTGCTGCTGCCAATTGCTGACATTGCAATTTCTATTCCTGCCGGGCTCACACACCCACGCCCCTAGATGAACCCACTCCCAGATGTGCTGCGTGTGCAGTGTGCAGCGTTGCATTTCATTATACACTGAAAGGAAACAGTGGGCTTGATTAGCGCTCCGCAACCAGCAGCCTGTCCTTCTAGGGACTCTAATATCCTGGAATATCCGTCGTTTAATATGCACATACCTCAGCTTCCCTGCCAGCGCTGTCTAGAGGGAGTACCTTTGCATATGTATCTGCACACCCCCAAGTATCTATGTACGTATCTGCTGTTGCTCGCTGGCTCGCTTCGGTTTGTGGTCGTGTGTGCTGTACTTTTTGGCATTTTAATTTCAAATTGTCAATTGGATTTAAGTACACTCGATAGCAACAACGCCGACAGCAGAGCATACTGTATCTCGGTTCTGGCTGTCGGAGCTGAGATTGCCTTCATCGCTCCCCCAACGCAAATTTTGGGAAATTGTTTGCCTATTATCGGGCCAGAGAAGCTGCGGAGCTTGAGAAGGCTTCGCTTTATTGCCGAGCATTTGCTGGTCATAAAATTTGATTTTAAAATGTGTCAAAAGTGCTTTAAATGTGACAAAATTTGATTACGCCTTTTGTTTTGTTAGTGCCTGACATCAGGACACTAGGGATACGACATTTTGATTGCTAGTCTCCGCCACAACAGACAGTTGCTCTTCCCTGAGGGGGAACTACTTGGCCATTCAGGGTCCAGCTCGTATTATGTTTAATGCCAATCTTGTTTGGCTCGTTGTAGCTGCATTGATTTGAGCGGCTAAATATTTGGTTACGGCCTGGTTATTGCCAATCGCCAATCAACGGACGCAAAACCATAATTTTCCGGCGGCACACAGCAACAATTGATGGCCGATTCGAGTTGAGTTTTTCCAGCTGCGTTAGAATCTGATCTGGCGCCTGGTTGGGGCTGAAACCCAACTCGTATTGACTGTGCCGCTGTCGATTTTGTTGCAATTACTCGCAGCAAATGTTTTTGCAGTTTGAAGCTCTCTCCATTCATTTGTTGTCTGCAGACCGATGATAATCGGACTCCTGTTTGCTCCACAAAAGCGGGGCAAGTATTTGCAATTAGTGTCAATTAGAGGGGTTTTTAGTTATTGCGCCAGATGCTTGTGCAGTTGGTAAGCGCAGAATGAAAGCCTGAGTGAATGAATGCATTCCGCCTGCTAATTGTTGACGGGTGTAAGCCAGAAGGCTGGATTTCAATTTCGACTCCCATTCGGATTCCCATCACATCTCACGTGTGCTCCATCCTATGATCTGTTCCCAGAACTAGTATACGTTTGAGTGGAGGATGAGAGTCCTGGCCAAGTGCACTCATTACAAATGCCAGCAGCATTCTGAGCAGCTGACGCAGAAGCCGGGGCAGAGCGGGCTTCCAAGTCGAATTATAAGGACTTCGCCGAAACCTTGGAGGGGAATTGCGCAAAATATGCGCACTAGGACGCTCCTCGGCACTTCAGCATTCGCCATTTGCCACGCAATTTGAAAACTTGCCAAAAGGCTGCGCCGGGCGAGGACAACAGCGAGGGATATTTTGCAAACAAATAATAAAAATCCAATTTTACATTTAATCACGCGCTCAGTCAAACAAAAAGAACGAACTGAAAAGGGCAGAAAAAGTTTCGGCAACGGCTGCCGTGTTGTCGCCCAAAGGACGATGTTCGAGCATCAACCCCCTTGCCACAGCGCCCATCCATTCGGCAGCCGCTTGCCGGGGACTTCAAGGATCAGGGACTCAGGGCTCAAGGTGACTGAAGTATTTTGCTTAATTTATTGCATTTTCTACGCTGAAATGCGCAAAAACTTTAGCCCACCTCCGGAAAATTAGGCTGCTCGACTGAACGGAACCGAGCGCCGTTTGCTCTGTTCTCCCTCGTCCCTGCATCCCCGCATCCTGCATCATTATAAATTTAAAAAGCGTGATAAAAGGGGTGCGGAACAGCGCCGGCTGCCACCGGGAGCTTAAGCCGCACTCCGCCCACCGCGGCTCACAATAAATTTCATTTTTCATCATTGCAATTTCTGCGCGTAATTTTTCGTACATGTCGCACATAATTCATTCCCAGGGCTGCGATGTCGTCCTGCGACACATGGATTAAGTGCTCTGAATGCTCTCCTTATGCAGCCCAGCCCACTTGCCGCGAGGAGCGTGCAAGAATGAATCCTTGAGTAATTCTCCACTGCGGGAACATGCTGCTAATTTCTCATTAGTTGCAAGTCCGATCCTGCCATCCAAATATCATTAAAACGCTTCCTTCAATGCATTGAGACCTTCGGGCACACATGATGCATCCACATTCACATCGACATCCTTTCGCTTCCGTGGACCTCGCACCCACGGTCTATGACTGTGACGGCCATGCAGATGTCATCACAGTCTGTTGAGTGAATGACTGCCTGACTGACGTCCCGGAAAGAAATCATGATACATATGATAATGACAATGATTTCACTGCTGACGAAGTCCCCGTCCCGCCGGGCATCTGGGGTCCTCTCCGTTTGATGACAACTGCCTTGGTGGGGCCAGCCAAGCGGGAACTGAACGCAGAGACGCAGAGACGCTGAGACTGGAGCAGGGAGGAATCCTGTGATGACTGTGAATGGAGATGGAGCTGGAGATGGACGGACGGAGCAGAACGCAGCCAAAGCCAAACGAGACATGGATGTTACTTTTTACTGTCAGTCCCAGTGCTAGCACCGCTTCCCACACTACGCCTCCTCCACTGACAGTTGTACAAGAAATACAAATTTGCAAAATAAGCAGAGGGCAGACCCGGCCAGAGCGCCGAGCAGGGCAGACCATTGTGAGATAAATGACGACATGCTAAGGGAAGTGTCAACTGATTGCGCTGAGCTAGGCAGGCGTAAAAAACACGACTCGACTCGGCTCGCCTTGCCTCGAATCCTGCACGTGACGCATACGCCTCGTTGTGCGTGTGACGAAGGAACAGGAGCAAATCCAGCGGGGTGAGAGATGGAACGGAGCGGAGCTTCTGACAATAAAACACAATAAAAAGAAATTATGAATAAATAATACGCAAAGTAGCAAAAGCTACACAACACAAAAACGTTAACAAAAAATTGAATGCAAAGCGGCGTCATCTGTTTATGATTTATATATTTTTTAATATTTGACTGGGCGACAGCAGCACTGAAGAGAGACACCCTCAGACAGACAGACAGCTCGGCGACCCAAGCTGTGCTCCCAAATCATCGCCAAACAAAATCAGCCATCATTAGCCAAGCATTTGTTCGCCAATTTCGGGTTTAGCTCTGGCCTCCCCAGCTGAGCTCACCTTACCCTGCCTTGCCTTGCCTTGGCTTCCTTTTTATTGCCGTTGCTCTTGCTAAATTTAATTAATTTTCACGCCATTTCCGCAGTCGGGTGCCTTGAAAGGATTCGCACGCCAGCCCAGAAATTCTCATTAGCAGCTGCTCAGTGACAAGAAAAGAAAAGAAGTGCGCTCGAAAGTCGCTCTAATGAAATGTTTGCTCGCCACTCGTGTCACTCGCGCATCCGATTGTCCGAGCAGCGCGAATGGCGGGGCGCAGGAAATAGCGGCAAGTGGAAAGGCAACCGGAAGTGGCGTTGAATGGAGCGCATTCCCGCTTCCGGCCGAACGCTGCGCCTTGATTAGTCTTAATTAAATTTCACCTGGCTTCGGAATCCAGCAATAAGCTGGGGACCATCCTAATCCCGGCTGTGGCGTCACTTGATCTTGGTTCATTGCATGACAGCTGCAACTTTCGCATCCAGGCAGTATCCAAAATATAAATAATAAATAAATTTAAAGCCTTACTGCTAACTGCGAAGCCAAATAAAAAACCTTTCCTTATAAAAAAATAATTCTATTTCCTTCCTGCTCGATCTCACCCTTGTCCTTTCGCAGCTTGCTCTCCTGGAAGCAAAAATACGCAAACCCAAAAATTATGAGCTCTAAATTAAATTTTCCGTCTGGCGTTGCCTTTATGGTTTATGAAGTGTTGCAAAAATATCTACAGATACAACCGAAATAAAAGCAAGCGGAGCCAAGATACACACTGCTGGAGAATGCTGCATCAGCGGAATGACATGGGGCAAGGGGCTAGGGGGGCGGGAGCAGGAGGCGGGGCTGAAAGCTGCCCACTTGCGAAACAACATGCAAAAGGATTTTCGTCGATTTTCGAGTGCTGTATCTGTGCCACTGCCGCTACTGCTGCCACATGTGCTGCGATGTGTTGCGCGAACCTTTGCGAGGAAGGAACCACTCCGCCACTCCGCCACTCTGCCACGTATCCAGTCTGCATAAACATGGCTTCCCCCACTCTTTCGAGTGGCTCCTCGCCCCCGTTGCTTTGCCCGGCTACTTGCGACTTTTTTCCCATTTTCCGTTGGCCATTTGGCACTGCTGTTATTTTGTATTTTCCTTAGCACACTTGCCTCGCCTCGCCACTCACTCGCTGCGGATGCACTGGCATCGCAGTGCTCAGCAGCATTTATTGTTTCTGGCGCCAGTTGTTGCTCTTTTTCCACTTGCAGCCCCAGTTTCAGTTCCAGTTGCAGCTCTTCCCCTTTCCGAGGAGCACATTGCGCGTTCTCAGCATTTTTAACAGTTTATTTGGCAAAGGCATAAAACTAGCCGGCCACGATGTCTGGTCCTCGTCCTGGTCCTAGTCTCGGGCAAGCTGCCAGTTGAAGGATCACTATTGATGAAGTGGGGTGTGATGGGAATGCGAATGCGAATGCGAATGCGAATGGGAGTGATCCGTTCGACAAATCTACGCAGTTATAAATTAAGCAACTGACACATCAAATTCCCATCAAATGTTTCGTGTAAACAATGGTTTCAAGGACAGCCAGAGGGAAACCTTAAATCCGCCTGGAATCCTTAAAAAAAGCATTAAAGGGAGCAGAAGGAGTCGACAGAGTCAACCTGCAAGCTCAGCAAGGTAAATACTAAAGAGACCAGTGTGGAGTGAGGACCACAATTAACAATGGGGGAGGGAGGGGAGCCTGAAGTTTGAAAAGGGTTCTACAGAGGAACAGAGAAACGTTTATGGCCGGGTGTTCGCTTCATTTTATGAGATTTTGATGTGCATCGAGTGTGGGAGGAGGCCTGGATTTTTGTGAGCCACAGGCAGGTTGAAAGTATGCCGAGCAGAAGCTCACACATGGGCACGCGGCCGCAGAAAGTATGCAACAATAATCTGGCATCCACCTGGTCCTGCTCCTGCTCCTGCTCCGGCCACTGGCCATGCTTCACTCAGCATAATATTCGCCCAGCCCGGGCATCCCTCCATCCATGGCCCACGCCCTTTGTGGGCCGCTCTGCGGCAAATATTTTATATGCGTTGCATTGCCCAGTGAATCCTTGGCCTGCCTTTGGCCAGTTTTATTGCCGTTGCAGATGATGGACAT